CAGGACAAGGGGATGTTGGTTGTTGGATGCAATGGGGAAGGGATTTGGGCTGGGGAAGAGAGAGAACTTCAGGGCCTCCAATCTACCAAGCACCTGACTTTGTGCCCATGCTGTGGTCTGGGCTGCAGTCCCCACGCTCTGCCTGAAGGGCTGGCAGGGCTCCTAGTCCAATGCATGAGGCTACTGGGCAGGGCCAGGAGTAGCTTTGCTGTGCTGAGGCACTGACCCTTTGTGCCCAGGAGCTGCCCCTGCGTGATGGGGACGATGGTTTCCACACGCATCAGCTGCACTTGGTGGACCTGCGGGCGTCCTGGACCACCACGAACCGGGACATCGCCTTTGGCCTCTACGATGGCTACAAGAAAGCGGCTGTGCTCAAGCGTAACCTGTCCACCGAGGCCCTGAAGGGGCTGAAGATCGACACACAGCTGCAGGCCAAGAAGCTGAAGCGAGGCCCGCTCTCTGCTCACTCCATCCCTGCCAGAGTGACCGCTCCCATCACCAGTGGCCGTCCTGAGAGAGCCTCCTCAGGGGGTGAGCACAGCAGGGAGGGGAGCAAGGGGAAGCCCACAGCTCAAAGCTGTGCCTGTTTTCGGGCTGTACATTTGTGACATCCCCCTCACAGCTTTGCACTGACCTTTCTCCTTCCCCAGGGGCCTACATGCTGCAGAAGCTCATTGAGGAGACGGACAAGTTTGTGGTTTTCACAGAAGAGGAGTCGGGGGCCAGCGAGCAGCTCTGCGGCATCGCTGCCTGCCAGACCGACGACATCTACAACCGCAACTGCCTCATCGAGCTGGTGAACTGCCAGGTACCTGCCTGTCCCCACGGCCTGGCTGTGACAGGGGCTGTGCTGCCCCAGAAAAGTCCATCAGACCCCTGGGCTCTCCCCCCACAGATGGTTCTGCGTGGTGCAGAGACGGAGGGCTGTGTGATCGTGTCTGCTGCGAAGGCACAGCTGCTGCAGTGCCAGCACCACCCCGCCTGGTACGGGGACACTCTGAAGCAGAAGACATCCTGGACGTGTTTGCTGGATGGCATGCAGTACTTTGCCACGACAGAGAGCAGCCCCTCCGAGGGGGAGCATGGCCAGCTCTGGCTGGAGGTGAGCATGTGGTGGGTGAGCTATGTAGGGGACAGGCAGTGCTGTCACTGCCCTGGCCAAGCCAGGGAAAGTGGGGACAGCCAGCAGTGCCTCCTTGCTTCCCCAGGTGAAAAATATTGAGGAGCATCGTCAGCGGAGCCTGGACTCGGTGCAGGAGCTGATGGAGAGCGGGCAGGCAGTGGGGGGCATGGTCAGCACCACCACAGGTACTGCCCACAGCCCTGGCTGCTGTGCCTACCCCAGTCCCACTTGGGTGTGACCCCAAGGCTGGCAGAGCTGAGAGTACCTGTCCTGTCCCTGTGTGGCTCCAGGAGGTGGCTGATGCTCCAAGCCCTGCACTGTGCAGTCCCACTGTGCTGGGACATGGCAGTCTGACCGTGGTTCCTCTGCCTGTTCCCAGACTGGAATCAGCCCTCGGAAGCCCAGCAGACCCAGCAGGTGCAGAGGATTATCTCTCGCTGCAGCTGCCGCATGTACTACATCAGCTACAGCCACGACATCGACCCCGAGCTGGCCACGCAGATAAAGCCCCCTGAGACCCCTGCCAACCAGGAGAAGGAGGATCTGCTGAAGAAGCAGGAGGGTGGGTGCAGCCAGGCAGTGTGCTGTGGGGGACAGAGCTCTGGGCTGACCCATGGCTAACTCCAGGGGTGTTCCCTTTTGGCCCTGCTTGGGTCAGAGGGCTGCATACAGGAGGGGTCCCCAACACATTTCTGGCCATGCTGAGGCCCCACTTGCCCTTTGTGTCCCTGCAGGAGCTGTGGACACCTTCACCCTGATCCACCACGACCTGGAGATCTCCACCAACCCCGCACAGTATGCCATGATCCTCGACATAGTCAACAACCTGCTGCTGCACGTGGAGCCCAAACGCAAGGTACCCGCGGGGCTCCAGGTGTGTGTGCCATGCTCTGCACCCAGGCACTCCTAACCTTGCCCTGTTCCTGTGCCCAGGAGCACAGTGAGAAGAAGCAGCGTGTGCGTTTCCAGCTGGAAATCTCCAGCAACCCTGAGGAACAGCGCAGCAGTATCCTACACCTGCAGGAGGCTGTGAGGCAGCACGTGGCCCAGATCCGGCAGCTGGAGAAGCAGATGTACTCCAACATGAAGGTGAGCCCACATCCCTGGCTCCCTGGGATCCCCACTCCAGGGCAGAGGGTGCTGAGGGTTGTCTGTCCTTCAGTCCTTGAAGGATGACAGCAAAAACGAGGTCCTGCTCGACCTGAACCACCGGCTGCAGCAGCAGCTGAGCCAGGAAAAAGCTGACCTGCAGCTGGAGAGTGAGGAGCTGAACATACTGATCAGGTAGGACAAGGGGGAATGGCTTTAAACTGAGACTAGGTTTGGACTGGATATTAGGGAGAAATTCATCCCAGTGAGGCACTGGCACAGGCTGCCCAGGAAAGCTGTGGCTGCCCCATCCCTGGAAGTATTCAAGGATAGGCTGGATGGGGCTTGGAGCAACCTGTGCCAGTGGGAGGTGTCCAACCCAAACCATTCTGATTCTGTGATCCCAGCCTTCCCCAGCATTGTGTCCCCCTTACTGTAGGACTCCCATATCCCAGCTCTCTCCTCTGGGCTGCAGGTGCTTCAAGGACTTCCAGCTGCAGCGAGCCAACAAGATGGAGCTGCGAAAGCAGCCGGAGGATGTGAGCGTGGCACGGAGGACTGAGTTCTACTTTGCCCAGGCACGCTGGCGCCTGACAGAGGAGGATGGGCAGCTGGGCATTGCTGAGCTGGAGCTCCAGCGCTTCCTCTACAGCAAGGTGTGGAGTTGGACAGTGCCCACAGCCCCTAAGCTGGGGACAGGGACATTGGGAGCTGATGGCTTTGTCTGCACAGGTCAACAAGTCTGATGACACGGCCGAGCATCTGCTGGAACTGGGCTGGGTGACCATGAACAACCTGCTGCCCAATGCTGTCTACAAGGCAAGTGGCAGCTGGGGGAGTAGCTCTGCAGCTTGAGGACCCATGCATGGCATGAGCAGAGCGGCCTGTCCTCACCCCAGCCACTCGTCCTCTTCCCTGCAGGTGGTGCTGCGTCCCCAGAGCTCCTGCCAGTCCGGCCGGCAGCTGGCCCTGAGGATTTTCAGCAAGGTCCGGCCTCCCGTGGGAGGCATCTCCATCAAGGAGCATTTTGAGGTGCCAGGGCTGGGCCGGGAGGTGCCAGGGTCTCTGTGGGGCACGGGCAGTGTGTGCCTGGCTCTCACATGTCACTTTCCCACAGGTGAACGTGGTGCCTCTCACCATTCAGCTCACCCACCAGTTCTTCCACAGAATGATGGGTTTCTTCTTCCCTGGCCGTCATGTGGAGGAGGAGGAGGTGGGGGATGAGGAAGATAAGTCCAAGCTGGTGACAACAGGTGAGAGGCTTGTAATCATCCTCCTCTCTGGATGTCCTTGAGCCGCTCTGGCTGCGTGTCCAGGATTATGTTTGTGGGCAGCTGCTGTCCAGCCATGAGTTGAGGAACGGGGATTTGTGGTCTCCCCTGTGGTCAGGGAGGTGGTGGGAGGGTTGGGGTCATGGCTAACCCCTGGCTGGACACCACCAGCACCTCACACCCTGTTTGCCCCAGGGATCCCCGTGGTGAAGCCGCGGCAGCTGATCGGGGCCGATGACTCGCTGGGCTCAGGGAAGGGAGTTGCTCAGGGACTGAACCGGACATCAGGGGTCAGAAGATCCTTCCGAAAAGCACCTGAGGTACCTCGTGCTGCTGTGAGGGGGGAATCTGCGAGAGCCCTGCTGTGGTGCCAGTCTGTTTTCCTTAACTGCAAGGCTGGGTAGCCATGTCCTCCAACACTTCCCTCCCACGCTTGTCTGCTTTCTCCTGCTCCCTCCCACCATGAGGATTTGCATCCTTTACAGCCAGGCGCCTGCACGCTTATGTGATCCCTGTATCTCATTTTTCCAGCACCATGCCAGAGCAGCTCTCACCTCTCCCTGATGAAGCAATGCTGTGGCCTAGTGCCCGGCTGTCCCTTCCCTGCTGGTTCCTGGCTGTGTCCCTTCTCCTTCCCTTCTGCTCATGGCTTCTGCTCTGCCCCCAGCATCCCGTGGATGACATCGACAAGATGAAGGAGCGTGCAGCCATGAACAACTCCTTCATCTACATCAAGATCCCGCAGGTGCCACTCTGTGTCAGCTACAAGGTGTGGGACCGGTGGGACAGGGCATGCTTGGGGTGGTCTGGGCCATCATCCCCACACTGCCTGACACCTCTGTCACACAGGGGGAGAAGAACAGCGTGGACTGGGGCGACCTGAACCTGGTGCTGCCATGCCTGGAGTACCACAACAACACATGGACATGGCTGGACTTTGCCATGGCGGTGAAGAGGGACAGCCGCAAAGCCTTGGTGGCACAGGTACGTGGGACCACATCCCTCTTCCCGCTCCGCAGGCTGCCAGAGCTGCTCTGCCCGGGATGGAGATGGTAACCCAGGGTGGGTGGCACATTCCCCAGCGTGGGAAGCAGCTGCACTGGCTCAGCAGCTCAGGCTGTCACCCAGGGTGTGGCTGTGGGGAGTTGCTGAGCCCCCTGACTCCCGGGGCAGGTGATCAAGGAGAAGCTGCGCCTGAAGCCGGCGGCGGGTGCAGAGGCCCGGGGGAAGGTGGAGAACAAATCTGATGGGACCATCCAGCAGCAGGAGGAGGACGAGAAGGCTCGATTGCTCATTGGGCTGAGCGTGGGCGAGAAGAACCCCAGCAAGAAGTCGATCTTCGGCAGGCGCAAATGACAGCAGCACCCGGCAGGCCGGGAAGGGACACCCCCTTGGGGGAGCACCCCGAAGGCAAAGGGGGGGCTGCACTGCTCAGTGGTCCCCAAGGAGGGCTCAGCCACGTGCAGGCCCTCAGTAGCCCCGTTGTTGTGGGGCAGGGGTGGGGCAGCACGTGGATGTGGGGCACAGGGTGCTCCGGGGCAGCTTTGTGGGGTACAGAACCCTCGTGCCAAGGGCCCCTGCGAGCTTCCCCCCCTCCCTGCTGTGCGGGTGCTGGGCCCAGCCCCTGGGCCTGGTGAAGCAGCAGGATCATCCAGGCTGGGAAAAAGGGGAACTGAGAGAGTTTAACTGAAGAGTTTTTAATTTGGAACAGGCTTAGGCCAGTGGCTTGTTTCTTGCCTCACCCGCGGTGCTGGGCTCAGCACCAATCTCCATCTCAGCCCGGCAGACCCCCATCCTTGGGGGCTTTGCCCCTTGCCCTTCCCCAGCAGATGCTGAAGGCACCCCTGGGCTCAGCCTGTGCACTTCCCCCTCTGCAGTGTTCTCCGTGAGCCCAGGGCCGAGCCCGGGCTCAGCAGGGACTGCAGGCACCCCCTCGGGGCTGCAGCGTGGGGTGCAGAGAGGGAAGGGAAGGGTGAAGGGGGAGCCCCACGTGTGTAATGAGGGGTCCCGCAGAGGGGCTGGGATCAGTCCCGGGTGGGTGAACAACCCCCAGGTGTGCAGTGAGGGTCCCGAATGGGGGGGATCGGTCACGGGTGGGGGTCGCCGTGCAAGGGGCAGCCCCGCCGCCGAGCCCCGGGGCGGGGGGTGGTCGCGGCGGGCGGGGCGGAGCGAGGCGGCGGGGTTATGTAAGGCGGCGATTACCGGGGACCGGGCCCGGGGCGCGGCCGGGCGGCGCCGCGATGGGAGCGACGAGCAGCGGCCCCGGCTCGATCCCGGCTCCGGTGCGGCCCCCCCAGGTGCGTGCGGCGGCATCAGCCCCGGGGCTCCCCCGGGCACCTCCCGCCCCGGGATCCCCTCGCTGACGCTGTCCCCGGTTCCGCAGGGCCGCGCCGTGGGGTCGTGGGTGCGGGCGCTGTTGAGCCGAGCAGGGTCGGTGCCGGTATCGGTACCGGTGCCGGTACCGGGGCTCGCCTTGGCCCCGCGGGGCCCCGCCGAGGAGCCGCCGCTGCCCGGGTGGCCGCTGCCGCAGCTCGTCTCGCTGTTCCTGCCGGAGTTCCCCGTCCGCCCCTCCGCCCGCCAGCAGCAGCTCAAGGTGCCGTCCCGGCTCCCCCCCGCTCCTAACGGGGTCCCGCTGCATCCGAACGGGATCCCCGATCGTCCTCCCCCGGGCGCGTCCTGCCCGTGCATCCCGCCCTGGGCAGTCCCGGGCGCCCTAACGGGTCCCCTCGTATCCTGCTCGTCCTACCGGGGTTCCTGCGCGTCTCTACCGGGGTTCCCCAGAGTCCGTGCATCCCGTGCCGCCATCCCGGCATCGCCGACTGCCTTACCGAGCTCCCCTCGCACGCTCTGCCGGGTGCCTGCGCGTCCTACCGGCGTCCCCGGCCGTTCCGCCGGGTCCCCTTCTATCGCCGCCGCCGCCGCCGGGTGCCCGTGTCGGGCTCCGTGTGTTCTACCGGGGTTCCTCTGCACCCCACCGGAGCGTGGCATCTCACCGAGGTCCCGCGTGTACCCCCGGGGGTCCCTGTGCATTCTGTCAAAATCCACCCCATTCCCTTGTGCCCCATACTGGGTCCCCGTGAATCCTGCTGGGGTTTCTGTTGGGTCCTCCAGGTCCCCATGTGTCCCCAGCGTCTGCTCTGGGTGCTCTGTGCCCCTCACCGTACCCCATTCAGGACCCCAGCCTGAGCAACCCAAATCCATCTCCATGGCGTGCTCAGGCCCTGCTCCTCTCCTCAGATCCTGGGCTTCGTGGCCAAAGGCTCCTTCGGGACCATCCTCAAAGTGCTGGACTGTGGGAGGGAGAAGGTCTGCGCCGTGAAGGTGGGTGCTGGCTCCTAGGACCCATGGGTGCCCCCACCTGCCCTTGTCCCCCCCACTTGACAGCGCCTCGCCCCCCCCCAGGTTGTGCCCAAAGTGGAGGTGCTGCGCCGTGACACCCTCAAACAGTGCAAAGAAGAAGTCAGCATCCAGGTGAGGGGGGGCCCAGGAGGGACCCCAGCCCATGAAGGGGTTTGGGGTGACCACGGGGACACCAGGAGGCCGTGGGAGCTGCGGATGGAAGGTGACAGAAGCGGGGTCCCCAGCCCCGGGGGCCGCTCACTCTCTTGTGCTTTTGTGTCCCCAGAGACAGGTCAGGCACCCGTTTGTCCACGGGCTGGGGGACAGCTGGCAGGGCCAGCGCCACCTCTTCATCAGTGAGTGACCATCTGCCCGCGGGCTGGGCCCGGCCCCCCTGTCCCCGCACGTGTCCCCGCCGCCCGCACACGTGTCCCCGCCCACGCTCCCCCCGCTGCCCCGGGGCCATCCGGGCGCTTGGGCTGCCCGGCTCCCATCTCCCATCTCCCGGCTCCCATCTCCCGGCTCCCACCGCGGGACACGGATGGGGACAAGCCACAGCGGGGCAGGGAGCAGTGTGGGGGTGAACAGAGCACCCCGTGCCTGCCCGGCCCTGATGGCTGTGTCACCTTGGCCCCTGCAGTCTGTGTGACACCTCAAGGACCACCTCACTTTGGTACCTCATGTGGTCCCAGGTGTTTGTGTGTTCCCAGTGCCCACAGGGCTCTGGTGCTGATGTCACTCTGCTACTTGCATGTTCCCGTGCCACCTTACTCATACCTGTGTCCCCTCAGTATGGAACCTGGTGCCCATCCTGCCCTGGTGCTGTGCCACCTTCCCAGCGCTTCCACCACCTCGGTGCATGGCCGCAGCGACCCCATGCCACCCCAGTGTCCCTCATGCCAGCTGACCCATCAGTTAGGCATTGTCACCTGTCCCCGCAGTGTGCACCTACTGCAGCACCGGGGACCTGCACGCGCTGTGGCGCGCTGCCGGCTGCTTGGCCGAGGCCACCGTCCGCCTGTTCGCCGCCGAGCTGGTGCTGGTGCTGGGTGAGTGACCCTCCACGCTGGGGACAGCCACCAGTGTCCCCACCAGCGGACACCTGCAGGCAGGGTCAGCCACTGCCAGGGGAGGCAGTGGGCACTGTGCTGGGGGGGGACACACAGCACTGATGGCTCTGCCTTGTCCCCAGTGTACCTCCACGACCTGGGCATCATGCACAGAGACGTCAAGGTGGGTGGCAGCGGGGCTGGGGGCTGGAGGATGGGGTGGGGGGTCTCTGAACCCCCAGCGTGGAGAGGCCACTTCAGTGGCTGTCTTATTTCAGATGGAGAATATCCTCCTGGATGAGAGAGGTAAGAGGCTGGTGGCACTGCCTTGGGGACACACCATCCGTGGGGAGACCCTGTCAGTGGGGACACTCTCTCTACGGGTCCTCACGTGGTGTCTGGCCCCACAGGGCACCTCAAGCTCACTGATTTCGGCCTCTCCCGGTACCTGCAGTGGGGTGAGCGAGCTCACACAATCTGTGGCACCCTGCAATACATGGGTAAGGGGAGCAGTGCTGGGGGGCTGTGCTGGGGTGCACAGACCCCCAGGTGCTCACCCAGTCTCCCCACAGCCCCAGAGGTGCTGAGTGGGGGGCCCTACAGCCATGCAGCCGACTGGTGGTCCTTGGGAGTCCTGCTCTTTGCTCTGGCCAGTGGGGAGGTAAGAGCCACAGGGTGGGGGGACAGGGACACCTCAGGGAGACCCTGAATTCACTCTATGCTCCCCCAGTTCCCTGTGGCTCCAGCTGGGGACCATGTGGCCATGCTGGAACGTGTCAAACAGAGCAGCTATGAGAGCCCACCCCAGTTCAGCCCTGAGCTAGCCCGGCTGCTTGCTGAGGTAACCCTCCTGCCTGGATTTTGAGGTCCCACTGGGCCCTGGGCTGGATGCTGAGGTTTCCCTTCTCGCTGTCCTCCCTCTGCCCGCAGCTGCTGTGCCACAACCCCCTGTACCGTCTGCGCTACCTCCACCACTTTCAGGGCCACCCCTTCTTCCGCGGGGTGGCTTTCGACGCTGACCTGCTGCAGAAGGACCCGGTGGTGGTGGCAGTGGCCCCGCGACCCCCCGAGCAGCCCCCACCCGATCCCGCCACTTTCGCCGACTTTGACTACGAACTCGCCGCCTCCCCGGACCGGCCCTGGCCTGGCTGAGCCACCACGGCTGGGACCCACCAGGGCTGGGACCCACCAGGGCTGGGACCCACCAGGGCTGGGACCCACCACGGCTGGGACCCACCAGGGCTGGGACCCACCACGGCTGGGACCCTCGGCATCGCTCAGGGACATCCCCCTACCCCGGCAGCGGGTCGGACCCTGCTGGGCCGGGTCCCCCAAGGGGTTACCCGGGTACCCCCCGATCTCATCCCCGGGTACCTCAACTCTGTACCTCTCCCCGCGGGAGCAATAAACCCGAGAGCCGCTGGCACTGGTGCCCTGACTCGTGCTGGGGAAAGCGGGACCCCCTCCCTCGGGGCGGGTTTGGGGCAGGTCTGGGGGGCCGTGTGGGGTGGTTTCCCCCGGGGCTGGCGATACGGGAGGAGCTGAATCCCCCTGCTCATCCATCCATCCGTCTGTCCGTCCGTCCGTCCGTTCCCCCGGCGCTGCGCGGCGCGGCGGGGGCGTGGCCAAGGGTCGTGACCACGCCCACTGATTCGTCCGTGGCCCCGCCCCTAACGGAAACCCGCGGGTGACGCGCGCGGCTCAGCCACTCAGAGCCGCCCGTGCTTTTCAAACCGGCGGCGGCGGGCCCGCACCGGGAGCCGGGGCTTGGACCGAGACCGGCACCAACCGGGAACCAGCACTGCCACACCGACACCCGGCACCAACCGGGAACCAGCACCCCCACACCGAGACCCGGCACCAACCGGGAACCAGGACCGAGACAGACCCTGGCCCGGTGGGCCCGGAGCCGAGCCCGGGACCGGGAGCGGAGAGCCACCGCGGCTGTAGCCGAGCCCCGGAGCATTGCCGGGCCATGCAGCGCAACAAGACCCCCGTGGTGAGTGCGGGCCGGAGCTGCGGTTCGCTCTGGGTGTTCGGTGGGGCGGCGGGGCCAGCCCCGGGAGGGTCCCCGAGGGTGGCGGGCGCGGTGCGGCCCGCAGCGCTCCCGGTATCGGTGTGTGTGTGTGTTTGTAGCTGCCTGTGCTGCCGCCGGTGACCCCCCGGTTGTTCCCCCCAGGTGCAGAAGCGGCCCCGGCGCACCCCGCTGCAGCAGCTGCAGTTGGACACCGACCGGACTGGCCTGACCCCCCTGTTCCGCCGGCTGCGGCTCAAGGTCGGTGTGCGGAGATAACGAACGGAACGGGGCTGGTAACGGGGGGACTGCGGTGTACCCGAACCGGGAATACAGTAAATGGTGCTGGCGCAATGGGAGAAGGGGCGTATTTCCTGCATTGGGGAAATGGGGAGACTAGGGCAAACGGTTGCGGGGTGCAGGGGGAAAGGGGAGGGCTGCCCTGACCTGCGTTTCCCCCTAAAATGTTCTGTAGGACAATGACTGTGCCACCCCAGTGTCCTGTGCCCGGGGCCCCCGCAGCAGTGTCACCACAGCGCCTTGCACCCCAGGATCCCCACGGAGTGCTACCCTGGGCCCTCCCAGCAGCACCACCCTAGTGCCTGATATCCTGGAGCCTTCCAGCAGGACCTCCACCTGTGACCTCAGGACTCCCATCCTTAAACCTGCTGCCTCTGAGGCCCCCAGCAATGCCACCCTTATTCCTGGTGCCTTGGAGCCCAGCAGCAGCACCGTGCCAGCCCCTGTGTGCAGCTCCATCTCAGTGCCCAGCACCCCAGAGCCCTCCAGCAGGACAGTGCCAGCCCCTGTGTGCAGCTCCTCCATCCCCGTGCCCAGCACCCCAGAGCTCTCCAGCAGGACAGTGCCAGTCTCCCTGTGCAGCTCCATCCCAGTGCCCAGCACCCCAGAGCCCTCCAGCAGGACAGTGCCAGTTTCCCTGTGCAGCTCCTCCATCCCTGTGCCCAGCACCCCAGAGCCCTCCAGCAGGGCAGTGCCAGTCTCCCTGTGCAGCTCCATCCCCGTGCCCAGCACCCCAGAGCCCTCCAGCAGGGCAGTGCCAGTCTCCCTGTGCAGCTCCTCCATCCCCAGCACCCCAGAGCCCTCCAGCAGGACAGTGCCAGTGTCCCTGTGCAGCTCCATCCCCGTGCCCAGCACCCCAGAGCCCTCCAGCAGCATCATTCCAGTTCCCCTGTGCAACTCTATCCTAGGATCCAGCAGCCCAGAGTGCCCTGGCAACACTGTGCCAGTCTCCCCGTGCACCTCCATCCCTGTGCCCAGCATCTTGGAGTCCCCTGGCAGCCCCATGTGCAGCCTTGTCCTGGGGCCTTGCACTGTGGAATCCCCTGGCAGCACCACCCCAGGGCTCCCCAACAATATTAGCTCAGTGTCTTGCAACCCAAACTCTCCAGGCAGCTCTGCTCTACCCCTCTGCAGCTCTGGATCCCCTGGCAGTGCCAGCACAGCCTCCTGCACCAGCACAACTTCTGTGCCCACTGCGGTCACTGGCACCAGCATGACCCCAGTGCCCACTGCGGTCACTGGCACGAGCCCAATGCCCACTGCGGTCGTTGGCACCTGCATGAGCCCAATGCCCACTGCGGTTGTTAGCATCAGCATGACCCCTGTGTCCACTGTGGTCACTGGCACGAGCCCAGTGCCCACTGCGGTTGCTGGCACCTGCATGAGCCCAGTGCCCACTGTAGTCACTGGCACCTGCATGAGCCCAATGCCCACTGAGATCGTTGGTACCAGCATGACCCCAGTGCCCACTGTGGTTGCTGGCACCAGCCCAGTGCCCACTGCGGTCACTGGCACCTGCACGAGCCCAATGTCCACTGCGGTTGTTAGCACCAGCATGAGCCCTGTGTCCACTGTGGTTGCTGGCACAAGCCCAATGCCCACTGTGGTCACTGGCACCTGCACGAGCCCAATGCCCACTGCGGTCATTGGCACCTGCATGACCCCAGTGCCCACTGCAGTCATTGGCACCTGCACCAGCCCAATGCCCACTGCAGTCATTGGTACCAGCATGACCCCAGTGCCCACTGCGGTCATTGGCACCTGCACCAGCCCAGTGCCCACTGTGGTTGTTAGCACCTGCATGACCCCAGTGCCCACTGCGATCGTTGGTACCAGCATGAGCCCAGTGCCCACTGCAGTCACTGGCACCTGCACAAGCCCAGTGCCCACTGTGGTTGTTGGCACCAGCCCAGTGCCTACTGCGGTCACTGGCACCTGCATGAGCCCAGTGCCCACTGCAGTCGCTGGCACCAGCATGTCTCCAGTGCTCTCCATGGCCACCAGCACTTTCAGGACACCTCAGGGTGTGGGGGAGAGGAGCAGTAACACACCCAAGGGAAGCCTCCCCTGTGCCAGGGACAGTGCTGTGGAAACAGACTCCCTGCTCTGGCAGTAAGTATGAGGACATGCCCCCCTGGATGGGGCTGTGGCACCTGTGGGCTGTCCTTGCCCTAAGCCCCTCTCTTTGTCCCCAGCTGTCCCCGGGAGCAACTGAAGACCCTGCCGCGGGCACAGCTGGAGGAGAGGCTGGAGCGGGCCCTCATCATCATCGAAGCTCTCTTGCTGCAGCTGTGTGACTTAAAGGACAGCCAGCAGCTGCGGCCTGGCGTGGGGCCAGCCAAGCAGAGGGACACGTTCACACAGACTGACACCACCCACCCCACAGGGGTAAGAGTCCTCTCCGAGGTGATGCCAACCTGTCCCCTCAGCCTCGGTGTTGTGACAGTGTCCTTGTGCCGCTGGCAAGACAGTGACCCCAGCTGGGTTGGTGGAGTGGAAGTAAAGCGTGGCTGCTGCATCACGCGCCCCGTGCTGCGTTATCGTGCCCAGATCAGCATGCTGAGTCTGCTGGATTTGAACCTCCTGGGGGGAAACTGCCCTGGTGCACATGGTGGGAGGAGGGGAGGTGTCATGGCTGCGGGGCTGGTGCGAAGGGCCCTCTGCTCTGGTGGATGTCCTTGGGAGGAGGAGATCTACTGGCAGCTCCACCTCGAGCTGCGGAGGAAAGCAGAGGCTGTGCAGTGGCAGTGGGGAGTGGAGTGGCATCTACAGCTGGAGCTGGGTGGCTGTCACTGGCCATGAGTGTGCCAGATCTCAGCCATGCAGGGGCACACACATGTGCCTGGTGCTGCCTGTGCCAGCTGCCATAAAACCAGTGTCCTTGTCCCTTCCCCAGAGCACCTGGAACAGCCAGAGCCTCCTGTTCCGGGGCCTCGCAGCTGCTGCTTTTCGGAGCTTGCAGGATGAGCAGGGAGCTCTCATGCAGGAGGTGAGCTCTGCACATCCCTCTGCTTCCCCTTTCCCCTGGGTTCTGGGAGATCTGTTGGCACACACAGCAGATGTACCTGGTGTCTCACGATGTTGTCACCTCCCACACTGGTGTCCCAGTGCCAGGCTGTGCTTGAGACTGCTCCCAGCAAGGTGCAGAGCTGCCTGGAAGAGCGGGATGCCATCAGGCAGCGAGTGGATGAAGCCCTGCGAGCCCAGGATCAGGTAAAGGGGCAGTTGTTGTGGGATTGAGGCAGTCTCAGCTGTCCTCATGTCTTTGGTGGGGCAACCTGCATCTCATTTCTGGGGATGAGAATCTCCCTGGCATCCCAGGTGAAGAAAATCCCAATGTGGAAGGCAAGGAGTGCTGTGTGATGGGGCTCTCTGGGTGTATTTTTGGTGCGGGCTGTGCTCCCCGGGGAGCAGGAGTCCTAGACTGGTGCAGGGATGGCTCCTGGGAGTTTCCCCTTGTGCTCCCCAGTGTGGCTGGAGCAGCATCCTCTCCTCTGCAGGGATATCTCTTCCTGGAGGCTTTCTGTGCCCATGCCAGGGCCCAGATCAGTGCCCGTGACCAGAGCCTGGCCTCCCAGCAAGAGCTGAGCACACTGCTGGCCCATGCCATCAACCTGCAGGTACTGAGTACGGTGCTATCCTAACTACCACACACTGGATCAGGGGCTGGAAGGGCATTGCCACATCCTGAGCTTGAATGATGCTCTGCCATGGGCTTGGGTGCACCAGAGGTTTTCTGGTGCTGCTGCTGGGAAACTGCTGCAGATTTGGCTTCAGGGCTGGTACTTGTCTCCCTTGATGGCCATTAAATGTGGCTTTTCTACCACAGCAGTGCTGACTCATTCCTCCTACCCTACAGGCATCCCTGTCTGCTAAGGCGCAGTCTTTCCGGGAATTCTTAGATGTCACCTTTGAAAATCTGAAGAAGGAAAGGAAGGCGGTGGATGAGGAGGTGAGGGGTGTCCTGAGGGGGCTCAGCCCCTTGCTGCCCTGCCAGTGCTCTGTGCCCTGGGTGCCGTGACCTGTCCCTGGTCACACAGCGGGGCAGTGCCACGCTGAGCTCTGCCCGGTGCTGTGTCCCTTCCCAGCGGGAGCAGACGAGGGCCCTGATATCCCGGTCTTTTGCCCTGTTGGAGCACGAGCATGGCAAGCTGCAGAGCTGCCTGGAGGAGTGTGCTGCTGCACAGAAACGAGAAGAGGAGGCTCTTCAGGCCAAGGAGGAGGTACAGGGGTGCCTCCTCTCAGTGCTGTGAGGTGTCTGAGGCACGGGGTGATTTGGGGCACCCCTTGGTGTGAGGACACCCCACGGAGGAGAGCACCCCAGAGCAAGCACTGTGTCTCCACAGGCATCCAGGCAGCTGGAGAAGACCTTGGTGACCCTGCAGGACACACAGGCTCAGCTGGAGAAGCTGACAGTGGCCAACTCACTCCTGAGCAAAGGTAGGGGTGGGAGATGTGGGGGCGGGAGCTGCCCCATCCCCCTTGCCCCTGTCTCCCCTTGCTAACAACTCTGTCCCTCACAGACCTGAGCTCCATGGGGATAAATCTGAGCAGTGTGGAGCAGGAGCGGGATGCGCTGCAGCAGGAGAACGAGAAGCAGCAGGAGGAGATGGCCCAGTGGGTTTCAGCCCTGATGTCCTGAGCCCCATCCCACCTCTGGCCCAAAAACACAGCACCCCCTGATCCCATCCCATCCCATCCCCTCAGGCTGGCGCAGGAGAGGAACTCCCTGCAGCAGGAGCGCAAGGAGCTGTGCCAGGAGCTGCGGGAGGCCGCTGAGTGCCGGGAGGTAGGAGCTGCCTGACCTTGCCCGCACCTCAGCACTGCTGGCCCCCATCATGGCCTCTCTGGGAAGGCTGGCAGATGGCCACGAGTGGGATTAGCCCTCCTGCGGAGGGGGATGAGCTCGTGAGGGTGGTTGACATCCTGCATGTAGTGCAGCTTTTCATCCTGCCTGGCAGGGATTCCCAGGGAGGGGGTTGGGCAGCTCTTGGAGAGAATTTTCTTGCAGATAAATTTCCCCTGCAGGCATGGAGCTGTCCCTCAGCCTGTCCTATGTCCCCAGTAGACTGGTTTGTAGGGTTTGGGCTGCTGGGATAAAGCTGCCCCCGATTAGAAACAGCACCCTGAGGGAGGGTCTGTGCTGGGGGTCCCAATGAGCCCCCTTGGCTCTCTGCTTGGCTGCTCATGACTGTGTCCCCCCACCCTCTAACAGTTCCTGGATCAGGAGAACCAAATGTGCCGCAAGCAGCTGCTGGAGGTGGAGGCCAGACTGAACTCCACGCTGGCCACCCTGCAGGAGCGCATCCAGCAGCATGAGGAGCTGATGGAGTCCCACCAACTCCTGCGGTACTGCCCCACTCACCAACTCCACTCAAACCCCTCTATTTTTGGGAAATCAAGCCCTTCCTGGGGTGTCAGAGGGGACATTTTGACCATGGCCAATGCTGCTCCAGCCAAGTGTGTTGGTCCAGGTGGGGGGAGAGGCTGTGGGAAGGCCAGCAGATCCCATCTTGAGGGAAGCTGCCCGAATCTGTAGGATTTACAGTATTGCTGGTTTGTGGTGAGAGGCAGCCATGTCCTCATCCCACATCGAGGAAGGGAAATGCTGCTCCTGCTGAGACTGATGCCATCCCACAGGGAAGAGCAGGCTGCCCTCAGCAAGGAGCTGGACAGCACCAAGGCCGAGCTCTTCAGCTTGCAGATAAATAGGTCCAAAATTTCTTGCTGCTCCACGGGCATTACGAAGAACAAGATGCGGTTGCAGGAGCTCGCTGACTGCCTCAAGGCTGCTCTGGAAGAGCCGGTAGGAGCCCTGTGCTGGGGGCAAGGACAACAGGATGGCCCAGGGCGGGTCACACATTTGTGGCTCTCCCTGGCATGGCTTTGAGATCCTGGGCTTGCTGGGGCAGTCACAAGCTGCACTCTGGTACTGTATCCTCCTTCCCCTCTGAAGGATGATGATGATAGCCCACCAAGAAGCAAAGCCTGGACCCCACGCCTTGCCTGGACGCCGGCGTGCCGCACTCCGCACCACACCTCCTTCGTGGGCAGCGTCATGAAAGCTGTATCAGGGGAAGGTGAGCTGGCACCCCCTCTCTGGGTTTTGGGGAGTCCCAGGATAGGGATTGCTGCCCCCTGTGCTGGGGGATGTGTAGGGCTGGGCACAGCCACTGTCCTCTCCTCTTGCAGATGCCAATGAAACCACCAGAAGTGGGAGTAGAGTTGCCAAGGACAAACTTGCATCTGTGCCAAAGCCAATAGGTATTGGGGCTATCACCCTGTCTGGGAGCCTGCTCTGAAGCTGCAGGGCTGTTTGTGCAGAGGGACGAGGCTTCCTTTGTGTGCCCTGAGGCTGATGTTCCCTCTGTGTTGCTCACAAGGCTCTTTCCTGCCTGCAGATCCCGAGGACACTCTGCTGGAGAGTGTGAAGGAGCTGGGAGTTGTGGTCTCCAACTTTGCCACGCTGGGCTTCCGCATCCAGGAGCTGAAGACAGAGATGTGAGTTCAGAGCGGGTTGTGTCAAGGGCTGGGCAGGGGCATCGCTGTCCTGGGCATGGCCTTTCCTGCAAGCGGCCTGCCTGGGTCTGCCTCTTGCCTCAGCCCTGTCATGGCTAGATGGGCTTTTTCCAGCTGGCTGGGCTGGACCAGATGTCTTCTCTCACCGTGGGCCCAGGGGCATGCCCAGGAGGGGGTTTGGTACCTGGTGCTGTGCTTGGCTGCGGTCCTGACCCGCTCACCACCACTGTCCTCTCCCAGCTCTGACCTGCAGCTCCGCCTGAAGACAGTGACAGCTGAGAGCCAGGAGAAGGTGGATGACCAGGCTGCCACCATTGCAGAGCTGCACAAGGCACTGAGGACCAAGCTTGAGGTAAGCCAGAAGTGGGCCAGCACTCGCCCCAGGGGCAGAGCCAAACTGGGACGGGCACTGATCTAGGACATGGAGAAATCTGGTGATGCCCCATGGGTGCTCCTGACTTGTCTGACCTCCTCCAACATGAGAAAACCCACTTTGGGTCCTGAGGGTGGCCAGGGCTAGGCACTGCCTGACCCTGCTTCTTCCTCCCTGTCAGAATGAGAAAGAGCTTCGGAACCTGTTGAAAAAGCAGGAAGAGCAGATGTTGCAACTCATCGACAAGAGTGGGGAAGTCACGGTGCGTGATGGGGGCACGGCTGGGCAGCACCCTGGGGGGCTGCCGGGCACAGGACCCCTCCCAGCATCGCTTTTTCCCCTGTAGAGGCTGAAGACAGAAGTCTCTGAGCTGAAGCGCTCGCTCCAGCTTGCAGAAACAGAGGCCAAGGTGCTGTGGGAGGAGGTGAAGGGCAAGGAGCACCAGGAGAAGCCTGTCAACATCCAGGAGCGGGTCCTGCTCCGGCAGCAGGTGAGGCTGGGGAGCTGCAGGGCTGAGGGCTCCTCATGTCACCCCCCCATGGACAAGGAGACCTCTTCAGACCTTGCTCCTCACACCCTGTCCCCCACTTCAGAGCTTTCCTCCACAGGGATCTCAGCAGGGCTTGCTCCTTTTGCAGGTGGATAAACTGCGAATGCTGTTTGTGAAACAAGAGGACGAGAAAAGACGGCTCACTGACAAGTACCAGGAGCAGGTGTGGGGAGCTGCAAGGGGCTGCCCTGGCTCCAGTCATAGCAATCAGAATGGTTTGGGTTGGAAGGGACCACAAAGGTCACCTAGTTCCAAAGGTCACCTAGTTCCAACCCTTCTGACATGAGCAGGGGTCCCCTCTCCCTTCTGGGCTGGTCCCTGCCCAAGTTTGGAACAGAGTCCTGATGGGCATCTCCCACCACCACAGATCCGAGGGCTGGAGATGAAGGTCCATCAAACCCACAAAGTGCTGAGGACCCATGAGGAGATGCAGGAGAATATAAGAGAGGTGAGATTTACAGTTTATTTCACACCCTTCCTGTGACTAGGAGGTCACCAACTCAAACACTATTGCTGCTGCTGTCCCCAGCTCCTGTCTGCTGTCCCTGAGGTGGCTCTGAGTTGCCAGGAGCTCCAGAACCTGCTGCGCTATGTGGGCCTGAAGCCAGCCAGCAAGGAAGCTGCTGAGCCACTATAGCCTGTAGCCTGAAACCTTTCCTGTTTTTAATGTTGTAATTATTTTTTGAATAAAGTTGTGTTGGCTTTTACCCTGCCTGCTGTGTGCATTCAGGAAGCTCCTGATGCTATGGGTGGGGACAACTTGTCCAGCCTGTGCCGGTTGCTCCTGTTCCGTCACGGGGCCGTGGGCACAGCTCCTGCCACCCCAGGGCCTCTCCTTGGCGGGGGACACGTCCCCCCCTCTCTGCCAGTGTTTGCTCTCAATAAAGGACTGCGTTCCCCAGGCTCCCACCCTGTGGCCCCGGCAGCAGCCAGAGTGCCCGGGCTGAGCCAGCTTCCCTCCCCTGCTCCTCCTCCTGCCCTACATTCCCTCCCTGCCCTGCTCTGCAGGGGCTTGTCTGGACCCTGCACCCCATCCTCGGGCTGCGGGCACGAGCCTGTTGCATGGGCCTTGTTCCAAAGGCTGGATTATTCCTCATCTTATCACAGGGCTGGTTCCAGAGGTTGGATCCTGCACTCTCATCACGGGGCTGTGGGCACACACGCCTGTTGCACGGGGATGTTTCCCCCTCCCAGCCTGGCTGCAGCACGCAGCATCCCACGGCTCAGCCAGGCCGGGAGCTCTGCCAGCTCCTGCTCCCAACCCCCCTTGCTCGCTGCTGCTGCATGGAGGGGGGGGCTCCCTTAGGGGCTCCCCAGCTCCCAGAACAGCTCCAACCTCACCTCCCTTCTTCCCTGCTGGGGAAGCTCCTGTGGGATCCCCCTCCCAGTGTTCCTGACCCCAAGGATGCCCCCCACTGCCATGGGGACCACGGGGCACCTTCCCTCCCCTGTGATGGCCCAAAATAGCAGCACTTCAACAAGTGCTCTGGTTTTTAATGGCCTCTTTCTCCTGCCCAAGGGGGATGGAAATCACCTTCCCCTGCCCTCTGCCACAGCCCTGCTGCTCTGCGTGGGGCGGGTGCTGTGACACGTGGGGTGCTGGCACCGATTTATCTACCCGGGAAATGTTTGGGGCTGTGCCTCCATGTCCTGGGTGCGTGGGCGGCTCGTGAGGAAGCAGTGCCCTCTGCTCCCTGGCCCTGCCTTCCTCCCTGCCCTGTGACCCGCGGGGTCGGGTACAGCTGTGCAAGGTGCAAGGCCAGCAGTGGGGTGGGGGTACCCGGCTCTGGGATGCGGGGAAATGTGCTCCCTTCCCTGGATTAGGGCCACAAAGGGCGGCTGAGCCTCCTTTTACGGCGGGATTCAGCACAGCGGGGCCCTGGCAGCTGTCCCCGTGGGGCGAGTGGGGACACTGGTATTGTCCCTGTGCTGGCTGCGGGTGGTTTTTTAGGGGGGTTGGTCTCCTGTGAGTGTCCCCACTCTGTCCTGGAGGGTCTGGGGCTCAGTGCTGCTGGCTCCTGGGCACAGCAGACAGCAGACAGATACCCCATCTGGGGTATCCTGCACAGTAACAGGGTCCCCAGCCTGGGGGTGGGACACGGGAATTCCTCACCCAGAGGTGATGAAGGGAAAGTCTGTTTTTAGATAACAGTGGAAACAGGGGGGCACAGCCTGGGGGTGGCACAGAGGGGTCGCTGTCTTAGTTGGCAGTGGCAATAGGGGGGCACAGCAGGGGGGTGTCACAGGTCCCTGTCCATAACCATCAGGGGTGGTGGGACAGAGGGGTCTCCAGCAGCAACTGGAGATGGCACAGTGGAGTGCCTGGCACCAGAGGGCCTTCTGATGACAAGGGGTGACTCAGCCGTGTCCCTGGGCAGTGGCGGGGAGGGCACAGAGGGGTCCCCATCCCCAGAAAACATTGCAAAGGGGTGATACAGTGGGCTCCCCAGCCTGGCATTGTCACTTTAGGGCTGCGGGGTTGTCACCAGCGGGGGGCACGACCCCGGCGGGGCAGGGGGGGGCCCGTAGCCGGCGGGGGGCGGGGGCGGGCCGGGGCGGGGCGTGGGGCCGGTCCTGCCCGGTGCCGCCCCGCCGGTCACGTAGCTCTGCGGCACCGCAGCCACATTTACCGCGGGGCCGGAGCGCGCAGCCCGCAGTCCGTACTCGTCGCCGCCGCCGCGCTACACGGTACGGGGGAGCCGGGGGTCGGGGAGAGCCGGGGGACCGGGAGGAGCTGCTGGGGGGACAGCCGGGGGGTCCCGGCGGCGGGAGGCGGCAGCCCTGCCGAGCCTCCCGGCTGTCTCCGTGCGGCATCCCGGGGCTCGTTCCGCGCTGGGGGGCTCCAGGGCAGAGAGACCCCCGGGCATGGGGGTACTGGGGATTTGAGGGTAGCCAGGATACTCTTCCTGCGCTGGCGGAGTTTGAGTTTCTACGGTGCCGGCCGGGGGATCGAGCGCCCCGGCTCCTGGGGGGCATCACTGGCCCCGCGACGGCGCCAGCCCCGGGTTATCAGCATCCCTGGAGTACCCCAAACTTTGGGTGCCTCCATCCCCCGGTTGTGCCGCCCTGGGGCGGCTCCCTCCCCCTTTCCCGGGTTATTTCCGTCCCCCCGGTATCCCCATCCCCGTGTTGTCGTCATCGCCCGCGTAATCTCCCCGCGGATTATTCCAGACTATGGAGTATCTCCGTCTCTGGGGTACCCCAAAGTCCGGATAACTCCAGACTCAGGTAGTGCCTCCCTGGGGTTTCTCTTTCCCCTTTTCCCGGAGTATTTCCGCACCCCCGCACCCCCATCCCCGGGCTGTTTCCATTCCTCGCTGGGTGTTCCCGTACCCGGGGTACCCCCATCCCGGTCCCCTGGTGTCCTGCGCGGGTCCCCGCGGAGCTGCGCTCCCTCAAGATGGCTGGGCTGGGGGCGGGCTGGCAGGCAGCAAAATGGCTGGGAGCTGCCCGGCATCCTCCACGATCCCTGCCACGAGGCTTATACAACGTGCCCTGGCCGGTGGGGCCGGGCTGGCAGCCCCGTGGGGGTCCCCGCTCCCCGGGGAAGGGGCTGTGTGTGGTTTCGGGGTGTCGCCCCGCTGGTGCGTGACTCAGTTCCCGTCCGCTCGCAGCCACCGCCACCATGACGCACCAACACCCCGCGCTGACGGCAGAGCAGAAGAAGGAGCTGTCGGACATCGCACAGCGGATCGTGGCCCCGGGGAAGGGCATCCTGGCAGCCGATGAGTCCGTAGGTCAGTTTAGGGGGGGGAAATCTGTCCCGCCACCCCTTTTCCCTACGCCGGATGGAGGCTGATGAGGGTGCTGGGTGCCTGCAGGGAGCATGGCCAAGCGCCTGAACCAGATTGGGGTGGAAAACACGGAGGAGAATCGCCGGCTGTACCGCCAGATCCTCTTCAGCGCCGACAGCCGGGTGAAGAAATGCATCGGGGGCGTCATCTTCTTCCACGAGACCATGTACCAGAAGGCTGATGATGGCACCCCCTTCGTCCAGATGATCAAGGACAAGGGAATCGTTGTGGGCATCAAGGTATGGGGGGTGTCCTGGTGGGTTTGTGGGGTGCTGAGGGTGCTTGGGGGTGCTGGTGAGGCTCAGCGATGCCCTCCTCTTATTCCACAGGTGGACAAGGGTGTTGTGCCTCTGGCTGGGACCGATGGCGAGACCACCACGCAGGGTAGGTGTAGCAGGGGCTGTGAGGTTTGGAGCCAGGGGATTTGGGGCTGGAGGGTTTGGGGCCATGGGATTTGTGGCTGTGGGGCTGACGTGCTGCCCCACAGGTCTGGATGGGCTGTGGGAGCGCTGTGCCCAGTACAAGAAGGACGGGGCAGACTTTGCCAAGTGGCGCTGCGTGCTGAAGATCAGCGAGCACACTCCCTCCTCGCTTGCCATCATGGAGAACGCCAACGTCCTGGCCCGCTACGCCAGCATCTGCCAGCAGGTACGTGCCTGCTGCCATCGCCCCACAGGGTGGGCAGTGACTGTAGGATGGGTATTGACTTGTGTGGGCAGGTATTGCCCCACAGAGGTGGGCACACCTCATCTGTGAGGCTCAGCACTGCGCCTGTGCAGTGCTGATGATCCCTGGGGATCATCCCCAGTGGCTGGACATAACCCTTGTTGGGTAACACCTCACGTGGGTGGACATGGGGCATTGCCCCGCGGCACGGGCATCACTCATGGGGTCAGTCAATCTGTGGGGCCAGGCGTTATTACCTGCACTTCACAAACCTGGACATTACCCTGTAGGGCCCAGAACTGACCCTCCCAGCTTGGGCATCCCCCCATGGGGCTGGGCATCACCACCAAGGGGGGCCTCGAGGCTGAGCATTGCTCTGCAGGTCTGAGCATTGTCCCATGTAGCCATGGGGCTGAGGGGTGCCCAGGGACATCACTGTGATGGCATCTGCTGTTGTGCTCTTTGCAGAACGGCATTGTGCCCATCGTGGAGCCAGAGATCCTGCCTGATGGTGACCATGATCTCAAGCGGTGCCAGTACGTGACGGAGAAGGTGAGTGGTGGGGTGGCAATAGGGCGGGCACCGTGCTGTGCCATACCCTGCCAAGGGGACTCCACGCTGCCTGTCCTCCCCAGGTGCTGGCAGCTGTCTACAAGGCACTGAGTGACCACCACATCTACCTGGAGGGGACCCTGCTGAAGCCCAACATGGTGACCCCTGGGCACTCCTGCCCCACCAAGTACAGCCCAGAGGAGATTGCCATGGCCACTGTCACCGCTCTGCGCCGCACTGTGCCACCAGCCGTGCCAGGTACCAGCTGTGGCATGGGGCAGAGACCAGGAGAGCAATACCCTGTGTCCCCTCCCGTGCCATAACCCTGCTCTCCACAGGTGTGACCTTCCTGTCTGGCGGTCAGAGTGAGGAGGAGGCTTCCATCAACCTCAATGCCATCAACACGTGCCCGCTGGTGCGGCCATGGGCCCTCACCTTCTCCTACGGGCGGGCGCTGCAGGCGTCAGCGCTCAGCGCCTGGCGTGGGCAGAAGGACAACGCTGATGCTGCCACCGAGGAGTTTGTGAAGCGTGCAGAGGTGAGGGGGGTGGCTCTCCTGGGAGGGGAGTGCCACGGGCTGGGGTGGTAGGGACACCAAGGACTGTGTGCCCATGGGAGGAGGGGTGGCTGAGGACTATGTCCCACATGCTGAGAGAAAACACCAAGGGCTGTGCCCTGTAGGACAAGGGATGCAG